CAGGCAAATTGGTGAGACCTCACCTCTACAATAAATCAAAAATTAGCCGGGCGTGGTGGCACACGCCTGTGGTTCCAGCTCCTTGGAAGGCTGAGGTGGAAGGATCACCGGAGCCCAGCAGGTCGAGGCTGCGGTGGCCGGGAGCAGCCACTGCACTCCAGTCTGGGTGACAGAGTGAAACTCCAACTCAAAAAAAACCAAAATTTTCTCTAGAGATGAAGTCTTGCTATGTTGCTCAGGCTGCTCTCTAACTCCTGGGCTCAAGCTATCCTCCTGCCTTGGCCTCCCAAAGCGCTGAGATTATAGGTGTGAGCTACCACACCCAGCGCAGGTCAGTCTTTTTGTTCTAGTCAGGCCTTCAACTGATTGGATGAGGCCCACCTACATTATGGAGGGCAGTCTGCTTTACTCAAAGCCCATCAATGTACACGTTGACCGCACCCAAAAATATACTCACCAGAAATGTCCAGAATAACGTCTGACCACATATCTGGGCACCCAGGCAAGATGACACACAAAGTGAACACACAAAGTGAATGCCAGGATCATATAGCAAAGGTGGGTCGCAGGATCGTGGATGGCGAAAGAACTTGGTCACCAGCAAGTTCAAGGGGAGCAAACTGGCTGGAGGGAGGTAAAGATGCTGTGTTGGTTGGAGTGACCAGGAGTCTGGGACAGGAGTCACCATCAGTCCCTGAAGACCAGGACTCAGAGGGGGGTGACTCAGAGGGGGGTAAGGATACCATGATCTGGCTGTGTATATGTCCTCTAAACTGTGGTGGGCACTGTGCAGTGTTTTGCTTGGAGGAAATCAATGACGCCTCTCCTAACTGTGACGTAAGTATGCTTATCCTTCTCACTGTTCAGAAGGGGAAACTGAGGCCCAAAGGAGTTAAGTAATAAGCCCAAGGTCACAAAGTCAGGAAACCATTGACCTTCCCTGGATTCTTCTTACACACCCTGAGTGAAGGTTAGGACATTGTGATAGATGTGACCCAAGAGGGCAAAGCTCTACCTTATGCTCAAAATAAATGAGAAAGGGGAGTAATTTAATTAGTGTTGGTACCCTTCCTTACATGATGGACTACCATAGAGTTGCTAAGAGTAAAGAATCCTTTGGAGGCCAGCTGCAATGGCTCATGCCTATAATCCCAGCACTTTGGGAGGCCAAGGTGAGAGGATTGCCTGAGCCCAGGGGTTCGAGACCAGCCTGGACAACTTGGTGAGACCTCGTCTCTACAGTAAACCAAAAAATTAGCCCAGCGTGGTGGTGCGTGCCTGTAGTTCCAGCTACTTGTAAGGCTGAGGGGAAGGATCGTCTGAACCCAGCAGGTCGAGGCTGCGGTGGCCATGAGTGTGCCACTGCACCCCAGCCTGGGCAACAGAGTGAGAGTGGCTTGATGCTTGCCAATTATTAAGGAGAAAAAGCAGAACATGTAGCTGTCACTGTAGTTTGATATTATTTTGGCTTAAAAACAAACAATAGGCTGGGCACAGTGGCTCATCCCTATAATCCCAGCACTTTGGGAGGCCAAGGTGAGAGGATTGCCGGAACCTAGGGGTTCGAGATGACACTTTGGCTAGACCTCATCTCTACAATAAATTAAGAAAAATTAGTTGGACATGGGGGTGCATGCCTGTAGTTCTAGCTACTTGGAAGGCTGAGGCGGAAAGATCACCTGAGCCCAGCAGGTCTAGGCTGAAGTGGCTTGTGAGCATGCCATTGTACTCCAGCCTGGGTGACGAAGTAAGACAATGACTCAAAAAAAAAAGGAAGAAGAAGAAAATAAAAAAAAGAATGTTTACATCAGAACTATTCATAATGGTGAAAAACTGGAAACAAGCCGGGCTCAGTGGCTCAGCCTGTAATCTCAGCACTTTGGGAGGCTGAGGTGAGTGGATTGCCTGAGCCCGTGGG